GGGGAGGGAGAGAATTTGGAACTCAAAAATTTTTTCAAAGAAATGATAAAAATTAGTTTCATATGTCATTTAGAAAATAAAATATAAAAATTTAAGCCCAACTGACTGTATTTTATTTTATTTTATTTTATTTTTTGCTTTTTGTTGAGGCAATCAGGATTAAGTGACTTGCCCAGGGTCACACAGCTAGTAAGTGTCAAGTGTCCAAGGGCAGATTTGAACTCAGGTCCTCCTGACTCCAAGGCCAGAGCTCTATCCACTGTGCCACCTAGCTGTCCCTGCCTGCATTTTATAAATAAACTGAGGCCCAGAAGTTGTTTGACTTGCCTAAAGCCACACAAGTAATAGGTGTCAGAGGTAGTATTTGAACCCAGGTTTTCTGACTCCAAAGCCACCGTACCAAGCAGATCTCAGAACTTGGCCTTCGTTAGCACATGTGCATATATATATATCACCCATTAGTGTTGGGCTACAACATCATAAGCCTACTGATAGGTGCTACTACTTGGCAAATAATATATTTCCTGCTGAAAAGTTCCCTTGTTGGAATTTCCAGTTTCTATAAATCTCTTTTGTGTTTTCAGTTCCATATAGACCCTTGGGTTCTTTATCTCTACTCCTGTAGCCTGGGCATGAGGAAAATACCTGTGAACTCAGGTTTGGGGGAAGGGCTGAGTTGGGCTGGGCCCCTGTAAGGGGTTGTAAGGGAGAAGGAAACTCGAACTGAGCAGTTGTTGATGACACATTTACAAAAGCTTACAAAGTCTCATTTAAGTCACATAACCATAGTCTGTTTTTTAAGGCATTTAACGTATTATTAGACTTATTTAGAGATAGAGAATCTGAGGTTCAGAGGAGTTAAGTGATTTGTCTATGGTCACACAGCAGAATTTGAACCCAAGTCTTCCTGAGTCCAAGCCCAACACACTTTCTCCTGTCTGCTTACCTTCTACCACTCCCACATTCACTCACCCTGGCCCTACCTCAATCATTTTCAGCCTGCTTTTACAAAGATTTGCTTTCCCTCTCAGTTTCAGGGGAAACCACCCAGCTTTGTGTTGTCATCTTTACGAGAGCTTTCCAGTGCCCATTACCCACCAGGACCATGAGGGGTTGCTTTTAAACTCCTTTGACCCTAAGTTAGAAATCGTCTGAGGTTCTCCTCTGGCTAAGACAGTAAGAAGCCCCAGTCCTAAAAACCCAAGCTAGGGAGGCCAGTGGGTTTAATGACAGGGAAAATTGGAATTGTTTAAGAGTAATATATGGATGCCACTTTCTCAGCTGGGACTCACTAAGTGCATCTGCTAAGTGCATCTGCTACTTTCTGCACTTAATTTTGCCTCTACAGAAGGGATTATTGAGACACACCAGGAGGGAGGGAGCTAGGTGGTGCTGCAGTGGATAGAGCACAGAACTTGCAATCAGGAATACTCATCTACATGAGTTCAAATCCAGCCTCAGACACTCACTAGCAGTGTGACCTTGGGCAAGAGTCACTTCACCCTGTTTACCTCCATTCCTCAACTGTAAAAAATGAGTGGGGAAGGAATGGCAAACCGTTCTAGTATCTTTGCCATGAAAACCCAAACGGGATCATGAAGTGTCAGACGTGACTGAAAGAAGTGAACAACAATAATAAATAAAGAATTGATGGCTAGATACGTAATTTTTACTGGGAAAGCCTACCCAGGAAGGCTTCGGAGAGGAAGTAACACCTCGAGCTTGGCCTTGAAGGAGGGGAGGAGGTATCAGAAGGAGGAGGGTGTCTGTTCTAATTTTAGAAATCACAAATGGCACGTAATGTCTTACTGGCTCTGACTGGCTTTCAAGATGCTTCTATTTACCCATGCAGTATGGTCTGGTGGGAAGGGCCTCTGCTCAAGTTAGAGGACCTAAGTTCAAATTCCATCTCTGATGATTACTACCCATGATTACTACTTAGGCAAGGCAGTTAACTATCCTGGGTCTCAGTTTCCTCACCTGTAAAATGAGGGCAGCAAGCCTAGATGACCTCCAAGGTATCTTTTAGCTCTAGACCTATGCGCCTATGATTTCTATTCCCCACAGTCCCCTTTTGGCCTGACTCCTCATTCCCTGGTACTTCCCACTCTGACACCCCAAATACCAGGTGCCCTCCTGGAAGTTTTTTCTGGGTCCTCTCACCAATACCTCACCCACTCTGTTCAGGTACAGGTTGGGCTACACAACCCTAGACGTTCCTTCCAACTTGGAAATTCTGTAATTCCATGGCAATCAAGCAGACCTTTACTGAACACCTACTGTACACTAGTAGGGGCAGCTGGGTGGCACAGTAGGTAGAGTACTGGGGCTGAAGTCGGGAAGACTCATCTTTCTGAGTTCAAATCTGGCCTCAGACACTTCCTAGCTATGTAACCTGTAAGTGCAAGTCACTTAACCTTCTTTGCCTCAGTTTCTTCATCTGTAAAATGATCTGGGGAAGGAAATGGCAAGCCACTCCAGTACCTTTGCCAAGAAAACCCCAAATGGCGTCATGAAGAGTTAGACATGACTGAAACGACTGAACAACAACTGTACATCAGACACTATGCTCAGCATTGAAGGTACAAAGTAAGAAATGAAATAACTCCCACCATCAAGAAGCTTACATTGTACCAGAAGAGACACCATGTACAGAATTTTTTTTTTCTTGGTGAGGCAATCGGGTTTAAGTGACTTGCCCAGGGTCACACAGCTAGCAAGTGTCAAGTGTCTGAGGCTGGATTTGAACTCAGGTCCTCCTGAGTCCAAGGCTGGAGCTTTATCCACTGTACCACCTAGCCACATACAGACCTGAGCATATACTGAATGCTACAAAATACAGACACAGTAATTTGGGGAGCCAGGGGCATCAGGAAAGGTTTCATGGAGAAGGTTGTGCTCAAGTTACATTGAAGGAAATAAAGCACTCTTTTGATGAGGAGGAGGAGGAAGATAATGATGATGATGATGGTGATGGTGATGGTGATGATGATAATGATGATGATGGTGATGATGGTGATGATGATGATGATAATGATGATGATGGTGATGATGGTGATGATGATGATGATGATGATGGTGGTGGTGAACTTCACCAACAGCAAACACAAACATTTCCATAGACAGAGAAGGGCAGAAAAAGAGGATTGTTCATGAAACGAAGAATCTGTTATGTACAGCTTGTATGCTTTTTAAAGAGTTTATGTTAAATGTAACATGGTGATGCCAGCTCTGGCCTGCTTTGCCTGTGTTTCCTCAACTTCCCCAGCTCTCTTCTCTCTCATCAATGTTTCATTCATTCTCTTTTTGAAACAAGGGATTCTAAAAGGCAGGAGTGAGGCACAGCTGCCTTCCCAGGGCTATGCAAAGGCAGAGATGGGAAGGGGAGTTTGGGGGATGATGAGAAGCAAGGAGGCTGGTCTGGCTGGACCAGAGTGTGTGGGTATTGGTGTAAGGACTAATGAAGGTGGAAAGGGCACTTGGGACCAGACTATGAAGGGTTTGAAAGGTCACACAGAAGAGTTTAGATTTGATCCTAGAAGAAATAGGGAGCCTTTGAAGTTTATCAAGTAGTGACAATTAGCAAGTATCCATGAAACACCTACTGGATGTGAGGCATTATATGAGACATTGGGGATAGAAAATAAAAATGAAGGTGCCCATGTCCTTGAGAAGTTTATGGCCTACCTGTGAATGGGGGGTATGGGATATATACATATACGTATATCTCCCCCCCCCAAAAAAGAAGGTAATTTTTAAAAATAAGTTGATTTATTTATTTTTAGTTTTCAACATTCATTTCCATAAGATTTTGAGTTTTAAATTTTCTCCCTCTTCCTCTCCTCCCCCCTCCTCAAGATGGCATGCAATCTGATATAGGCTGTACTTATACATTCGTATTAAGCATATTTTCCTGTTAGTCATGATGGAAAGAAGAATTAGAACTAATGGGAGGAACCACACGTATGAAGCAATAGAGCAAAACAACAAAAGAAAAGGAGAGCAAATGGTCTGCGTCCATGTGGATTCAGACTCCATAGTTCTTTCTCCGGGTGTAGATGGCATTTTCCATCATGAGTCTTTCGGACTTGTCTTAGATCCTTGCATTGCTGAGAAGAGTCGAGTCTATCAAAGTTAGTCATCACACAGTATGGCTGTTACTGTGTGTGTAATGTTCTCCTGGTTCTGCTCACTTCACTCAACATCAGTTCATTCAAGTCTTTGCAGGTTTTTCTGAAGTCTGCCTGCTCATCATTTCTCACAGCACAATAATATTCCATTACATTCATATACCATGGCTTGTTCAGCCATTCCCCAAGTGATGGGCATCCCCTAAGTTTCCAATTAAAAGAAGGTAATTTTTGAGAGGATCCCTAGTAGTGGGGGGATTGGGAAAAGGAGGTGGCATTTGAACTGTTCTTTGAAGGGACACTAAGGGGGCTCTGCTGGTCAGGAGGAAGTCTGTGTGATATCATCAAGACTGAGGAAGAAATGTTTCGTGTGAGAAACGGCGAGGTCAGTCTGGCTGGACCATAAAGTGGTAGGACAAGGAGAGTAATGTATAATAATGCAAAAATGTGTGATGGAGCCAGATTGTGGTGGTTGTTCATTCATTTCAGTTATGTCTGACTCTCCTTGGGCTTTTCTTGGAAAAGACACTGGAGTGGTCTGCCATTTCCTTCTCCAGCTCATTTTACAGATGAGGAAGCTGGGGCAAACAGAGTTAAGTGACTTGCCCAGGGTCACACAGCTAGGAAGTGCGTGAGGCCAGATTTGAACTTGGATCTTCCTGACTCCAGGCCTGGCACTCTATCCACTGTGCCACCTAGCTGCCCATATGTTTTTGAACATGACCATGCAGGAATTTGTTTTGTTTGACCATGTATATTATAAAGATTTTGGTTTTCCGTTTTTTACCCATGGATAGGGTGGAATAGAAGGCAGAGAAATACATTTTGATAATGAAAAACTAAGTTTTAAAAATGTCATTTGTTTTGCAGCTGTGGGGAAATCCACCTTCGTAAAGTTACTCCTGAAAACTTTCCCAGAGTGGCACGTATCTGCCGAACCCATAACAACATGGCAGAACATCCAGGCTGTTGGCACACCAATAGTAAGTTTGCAAAGTGTGGGAGCCCTGTCAGCGAGGGTGGGGGTGGGTGTAGACTGACCTGCTACTACGGTGGAGTTTTCTAATACCCTTTGTGTCTCCTTGGGTCAACCTCATACCAATTTTGCTGCCCCTCCAGAGAGGAGGTGACGCTTGGTTGAGAGGCAGTTTGGCTGGTACAGAGGACCCTGGCCTCGGAGTTACAGAGTAACAGAATTTGAGACCTGTCCAATCTGTGCAGGAAATGAATCCTTCTGGAAGCTTGTGGTCTTGCCTCTGCTTGGAGACTTAGGAGGAGAAGGGTAGCTAGGCGGCGCAGTGGATAGAGCACCGGGCCTGAAGTCAGGAGGACCTACCTGAGTTCAGATCTGGCCTCAGACACATAACACTAGCTGTGTGAACCTGGGCAAGTCACTGAACCCCATTGCCTAGCCAAAAAAAAAAAAGAAAGAGGAGGAGAAAGCCACTTGCCTTTTGATGGAAGCCATTTTGCTTTTGCACAGCTCTCATCATGACCAAGTTTTTCTTAACATCAAACCTAAATTGACATCTTTGCAACTTTCACTCCTGGTGTAGTTCGATCCTCTGGAGCCAAATGGAGTGAATCTAATCCCTCATCCATAAGACCACTATCACTGCCCCACCCCAACCCCAACCCTTGAGTCTTCCCTTCAGGACAAACAGGCCCAGTTCCTCTAACTGATCTTTATATGCCGTGGACTCCAGGCCGTATCCCATCCTTGTTACCCTCCTCTGGACACTCTGTGGCTTATCGATGTCATTCTTAAACTGCTGTGTTAAAACCTGAGAACAATACGCCAGGTGAGGTTTGATGAAGGCAGAGTATAGTGAGACTACCTCCTTATTTCTGAAAGCTATTGATTATTTTCAGATAGTTAAATCTACCCATATTTTCCCCATCCAATATTTGCTTTTTAAGATTTCTTTTTTGTCATTTTGAACTTGATAAACACCAACAAACATGAATATTTCCATATACAAAGAACAGAAAAAGAAAACAGTATATGAATCACGAATCTCTGTTATATACATTCTTTGGTTATGTAAGTATGTAATCAGCTTGACATACTGGCTTCAAAGCTGGCCAGCCTGTCTGTGTCTCAAGAACTCCCCTCTGTGCTTAAAAAAAAAAGTACTTTAATGACCCTCTTTTCTTCCCTTTTTTTTTTTTTTTGGTATCATTATCACAGCCCCGTCCTATCATCCCCCTCTAAAATTACAAAAGGCTCTGTTGTAACAAATAAGCCTAATCAAGCAAAACAAATCCCCATGTGGGCCGTCTCAGAAAATATACGTCGAATTTGGCTCTTCTAGTCCATCACTTCTCCTTCAGGAGGTGGTTAGCAGGCTTCATCATCTGTCCTCTGCAGTTGTAGTGGGTCATTGCATTGAGGTCTTAAGTCTTTCAAAGTTATTTTTCTTTATGATGTTTTTTGGTTATTGTTTGGTCTTTTTAGTTGTATCCAACCCTTAGTGACCCCACTTTTGGTTTTCTTGGCAAAGATACTGGAATGGTTTGCCATGAGGCAAACAGGGTGAATGACTTGCCCGGGATCACACAGCTAGTAAGTGTCTGAGGCCAGATTTGAACTCAGGGAGATGAATCTTTCTAACTCCAGGCTCAGTGCTCTATTCACTGGGCCACCTAGCTGTCCCTATAATGTTTTTAGTTATTATGTAAATCACTGTATGTATGAGTACATACAGTTCTTCCCAGGTTCTCTCAATCCATTCCTTTTTCATTTCTTATGGCACAGTAACATTCCATTACATTCAGATGCCATTGCTGATTTAGCCATTCTATGACTAATGGTCATCCCTTTAGTTTTTAATTAACCAATTTTAATTTTTCATTTTTGATATAATTTCATTTTCCTCTCATTTTTTAAGTCAAACTTTTTTTTTAAAAGTCCAATACTTTGGGGCAGGTAGGTGGTGCAGTGGATAGAGCACCAGCCCTGGAGTCAGGAGGACCTAAGTTCAAATCTGGCCTCAGACACTTAACACTTACTAGCTATGTGACCCTGGGCAAGTCACTTAACCCCAATTGCCTCACAAAAAAAAAAGTCCAGTATTTTGTTTTATTCATCAATTCAATTTTTTTTTTGCTTTTACTTTTGTTAATCTCTTCTTTGGTTTTCAGAATTTTTACTTGTTATTCAGTTAGAGTTTTTTGATTTGTTTATTTTTTTTATTGTATACCCAATACATTGATTTGTTCTTTTTCTCTTTTGTTGAAAAATCGATGGGGCAGCAGGTAGTGCAGTGAATAGAGCACTGGCCCTGGAATCAGGAGGACCTGAGTTCAAATCTGACCTCACACACATGATACTTACTTACTAGTGATGTGACCCTTGGCAAGTCACTTAAGCCCGATTGCCTTGCAAAAAAAAAAAAAACGCTAAGGATGACTTTAAGTGCGTCCCATAAGTTTAGGTATATTGTCTCATTTTGTAGAAAATGATGATAGATCTCTGGCAATTACTGAACAGGAACAGAAAGGAATTTATATATGCTAGGCATAGCACCTTTACAAAAATTGATGGTGTATTGGGCATTCAAAACCATTCAAAAAACAGACAAATATGGAAAAGCAGAAGTATGGACTTTCCTTGCTGACCACAGTGCTACTTTGTATATTTAATAAAATCATATTCAATAAAGGGCTTTTTTTTTTAGGTAACCATTTGCAGTTCTTTGATACATTTTTTATTAATTTATTTATTTTTAGTTTTCAGCATTCACTTCCATAAGATTTTGAGTTCTAAATTTTCTCCCCCTCCCTAAAACGGTGTGCACTCTGATATGGGCTCTACATATACCTTCACGTTGAACATATTTTCATATTAGTCATGTTGTGAAGAAGAATTAGAACTGGGACAAACCATGAGGAAGAAGAAACAAAAAGAGAGAGAGGGAGAGAGCAAATAGTATGCTTTGATCTGCATTCTGACTCCATGGTTATTTTTCTGGATGTGGATAGCATTTTCCATCAGGAGTCTTTTGCAGTTGTCTTAGATCTTTGCATTGCTGAGAAAAAATAAAGGGCTTTTATAGAAAGACTGAACAATTAATTTGACTCTCATTTAATCGTAAAGGTGGGTCACCTACTGTCTGCCAGGTTCTGGGCTAAGCACTCGGGATATAAGAAAGGCAAAAGATAGTCCTTGGTCTCACAGTCTAATGGGTAAAAGTAGCATGTCGATAGCTGCTTTAAGGTTTACAAAGCACTTTACAAATGTTGATTCATCCTCATGACAAGGGATGATGCTATTATCATACCCACTTTATACATAAGGATACTGAGGAAATTAAGTGATTTGTCTAGGCTCAGCCAGCTAATAAGTGTCTGAGGTAGGATTTGAACTCAGATCTTCCTGACTCCAAATCTAGTGGTCTATCCTCTGTGGCACCTAGTAGCCAGGGTGCTAATAAGCAGCCTGTGTGCTTGTCTGGCTCTGTCTCCTGCTATGCTTCAGCTGCTTCTATTCTTGCTTCATTTCTTCTGGCCATTCTTAGAGTCCTTGTGGCCAGGTCGCTTTTTTCCCTCTGAGGTTTTGCTTAAACTTGATATGAAATTACTCTTCTTCTCTTTGTTTACCTCGTGGGCTTCTGTTAATCCACAGCATTTCTTCATTGTGTTTGGTGTTCTGTTTATTCATATTTTTCTTGGTGGGACCCCTCTTCCGAGGTTGGTGGACTTCAAGATTATTTACCTAGCCTTTCCTGTTGTGATGCTTCTTCCTACCTCAGTTGGTTTCTGATTGTCTCTCTGTGCAGCTCTGGACTGGCTAGAGTAGCCTACCACTGTTTCTCTGGTTTCGTGTCGGGGAGAGCCAGGAATCTCTGCAACGCTGATTCATGGCATATTAACCATCAGTGTATATTCTTCGGTCACCATGGGGTGGTGCTATTGGGTCACCTGAGTGATTCTGTGACCTAGGTTGGGGTTTGGGCATGGAAGGGAGAGAGAAGCCTAATTTCCTCATGGGCTGGGTGGGAAGGGGATCCTGAAATGTCCTTGGCTTTTGGAAAGATTAAATTACCACCAAGACAAGTCAGAACATTACTAACAGCTGTATTTTTGCCAGAGTGAAAGCACCAGCAGGTTCCTAGATCATTCAAATGCTCTCCTGGCTGCTAGATTATCTTCTGGGCCAGGCTTGTGACCAGTTTCCCAAATTCCTTATCAGTTTCAGATGACTGTTTTCTGTATGTTCAAACAATGAATTTCTTTTTGTGTGCTGTTATTTGGTGCTCTCCATATTCAGCACCTTCTGATTCTTTTCTTGGAGAAATCTGAATGCGCAGCTAATCATATAGCTTCTCATACTAGTTGGCCAGTAGGAGTGAGCACCTGCCTTCTATGAATGAATGAATGAATGACAAAGCATTTGTTGAGCATTTACTACGTGCCAAGCACTATGCTGTATGGTGAGGATTCCAAAAAAAGTAAACAAGTGTCTGTCCTCAAGGAGCTTATTATATTCTAATAAGAAAATGGACAGTGCTGTATCCCAAAGAGATCATAAAAATGGAAAAAGGACCCACATATACAAAAGTATTTATAGCAGTTCTTTGTGTGGTGGCCAAGAATTGGAAATTAAGGGGATGCCCATCAATTGGGGAATGGCTGAACAAGTTGTGGTATATGAATGTGATGAAATACTATTGTGCTGTAAGAAATGATGAGCAAGCAGACTTCAGAAAAATCTGGAAAGATTTGTGTGGACTGATGCTGAGTGAAGTGAGCAGAACCAGGAGAACATTGTACGCAGTGACAGCCACAGTGTATGGTGACTAATGTTGACAGACTTAACTCTTCTCAGCAATACAGGGATCTAAGACAGTTCCAAAAGTCTGAATGCAGATTGAAGCATACAATTTTTTTTTGTTTCTTCCTTTTCGTGGTTTTTCCCTTTAGTTCTAATTCTTTTTTTACGACATGACTAATGTGGAAATATGTTTAATGTTATTGTACA